GCATTCTTATAACTTTCGTTCCCTTACACCGTCCCGATGGTAACACTTATTCTATAAAACTCAAGAAAAGTCTTACACTTATTTCTTGAACAGATTTTTTCTTTTAGCTTTTATTATCTTCATTAGAGGTAAAATTCTAGAAGCGATTTCACAGATTTTTCTTCTAAAAAATGATAAATCTTAGCGTGGGCGTCGTTAAAAACTATTTTTGATTTTCCATTCAGACTATGTTAAGGATGCCTCTAATAGATCTTTATCTTAAATCCCAAGTCTCCTTAAATCCCTTTTTTGCCGGCCAATATGCTTGCCATGTATTTATAGCTGTTCGCATATTTCGCTTCAACATGGTTTACAACCTCCTTTATTAAAAACTACTCATTCTAAGATTTCATTTTGCTGTCTGCGACAGGTTAAAAAAATTCAACCTCCACATTAAGATTGAATATTATAAAAATCTTTTGAATTTCTGAGTTTATCATTCTTTTTACAATTGTAATAATCCATTATGCCTACTTAGTTTTTACCATCATCTACTACTCATATTAAGTTTGAATAGTCAATAATATTTAATACAACCATTTGCCATTGATTCAACACTCAATTTGTAATAACAGGTCATAAAGTCTCAAGAATAGCAAATTGTCGTAATCCTAAAGTGCGCTATCGATTAGCATGGTAGTGATTGTGTTTTTTAATCATAAACCAAACACTTAAAAGATTCTGATCTTGAAGTTTACAAATTTATTCTATCATTGAGTGCGTGCATATGGTTGTAAAATCAATTCAAGAATGCCTATATACTCCTGAGTTACGTATTTTATTTGTTAATTTAATAATGCTAACTAACAAACAATTTTAAGACTTCGATAATAACTCATGCTTATATGCTTGCTTGTGTTGTTTGTTTTACACAATGCATAAAAGTGCTATACGTTTACTTTTACAATAAAGATGGGATCTTTACAGCACAATTCATATTGATAGGCCAAAAATACCTGATTACGAAAATAGATCGGAGAATTTAAAAGAATTATACAGGTGGGTTGATCTCGTTTTCGCAACTCGGTCTTGTTGTCAGGGCGACTTAGTTTAACTCACCTTCTCCGCAGTACCTGCCACAGTAGTTATCATAATTCCCAGCATCAGATCGTGGACTTGGTACATTCTCAGTCGTTTTGCCGGAATTATCAGTGAGTATTGTTACTCTCAGCACCAAGCAACAAACTCGTCAAAGATACAATGTTCTGCCGAAACGGTTACACTATCACTTTTTTTGTCCTGGCCTATCTATCCACTGCTTACCCTCTTATCCAACTCCCGCCCTATCACAACTTCTGACTTGTTTACATTCCATTCGTATAAATGTGTACCAATTTCGGAAAATTTAGTGTGGCCTCATCACACCTGCTATTCACCCTAGCGCCCTCTCTTTCGAGCGGCTAATGCGACTCGGGCATCCTATCCGGGTCTCCCTCATGGTCCCGAATAGAATGGAAACAAGTCAGAAGTTGTGATAGGATAGGAGTCGGATAAGAGGGTAAGCAGTGGATAGATAGGCCAGGACAGAAAGAGTGATAATGTAACCGTTTCGGAAGAACATTGGCCGAGGGATTG